GGCGGGGTATGGTAGCTCACATCTGTAATCCCAGCACTTTGAGAGGCCAAAGGAGAATTGCTTGAGGCCAGGGGTTCAAGTCTATTCTAGGCAACACAGTAAGACCCGTCTCTATTAAAAAATTTTAAAGTTAGCCAGGTGTGGTGACATGTGCCTGTAGTCCTAACTACTCAGGAGGCTGGGGTGCAAAGAGCCTTTGAACCTAGGAAGTTGAGGTTGCAGTAAGCCATGATCACACCACGGCACTCCAGTCTGAGTGACAGAGTGAGACCTGTCACTTAAAAAAAAAAAAAAAGATTTTGTTTCCAATGTGGAGTAATGACTTGTTACTGAAGGGTTTTCCACATTCATTTCTTTCACAACCAAGCTATTTCCAATGAGGCAGAGAACTTGGAAGGAGGCTCTGCTGGATAACTAGCCTGGAGCTGAGCCAAAAAGAAAGCTAGATTTAAAAGCTGGCCCTGAGTGAAGAATTTTCAACCAGCTCAGCAAAATGTGAAGCTGCTTCTCTACTGTTATATAAATTTACAACTAACCTTCTAGCTTCAGATGTAAAGGGACAGTTTTAGCAGCACCTACTTGGAATATAAAGAGATACAAGGAAAATCCATTTTCCCGATTTATGGACAAATTAAGGACTGGAAAGCCCTCATCATTTACTAATGAGGAAAATAACAAATGTATTTGAAGGCAATGCAAAGCCTCAGCAACTTGAGGTAGTAAAAGAACATATGAAAAAAATTTCAAGAAATATGAAATTTAAAAAGGGAAACAAAATAAACTACCTCTGGTAATCCTGAAAGGAAAAAAAAAATGGAAAGGAAACCAAAGTGTAAAACATTATACAGTTGGCCCTCTGTATTCATGGGTTCTGCATCCACATATTCCGAGGATATGGAGGGCCGAGTGTAAGGGAGCATCAGAGGGCTTTGGTATCTGAGGAGGGGGGCATCCTGGAACCAATTCCCTGTGGATACTGAGGAATGACTATATATGGAAAAGGAGGTCTAACTACATATACAAAACAGAGGAAAATAATCTTACAGGATACTAAGTATAACCTTATGCCAATGTTTGACAGACTAGTAAATACGATTTCCAGATACGTATTAGAAAAATTTACACAGAAGTAGAAAACCTTTAGAACATAACCATTGAAAAAAACTGAAAGGATGCTAAAATAAGTACCTAAACCCTGCCACATCCAAACACCAGGAAAAAATTTATCTATCTATCTATCTAAATGTGTCATTTCTAGCTAGCCTTCAAGGAATAACTGCTATATTACACACACTTCCAGGGTAATAAAAGAAAAAAAATTCCAAATTCATTTTGCACAGCCAGCAAAACTTGGCAAACTCAATCTACTTCTGAATTAAAAAAAAAAAAAGATTTATCCCAGGAATACAAGGAAATTTCAATTATTTGGGAACTTTTTGATTTTTTATAACTTGATAGAACTTAGCAACCATTCCTAAAAAAAAACTTTAATATTTACTATAGTGTATATGTGTCAAGCACTGTTTTAAGTAGTGCATATTGACTAATTTAATCCTTGCAACCCTATGAAGTAGCTCCACTTTATAGATGGAAGAGCTGAGACACAGAAAGCTAGGTGATTTTCCCACAGTCATACACCTAACAAAGTGGTAGACATGCAGATTTTTTTCAAAGACATGGTCTCACTCTATTGCCTAGACTGGATTGCAGTGGTGTGATAACTCATTGGAGCCACAACCTCCAGGCTTAGGCAATCCTCCTTCCTCAGCCTCCTGAGTAGCTAGGACTAAAGGCATGCACCAATACACCCAACTACTATTTTATTTATTTATTTAGGGACAAGGTCTTGACATGTCTCCTAGGCTGGTCTTAAACTCCTGAACCGAAAAAGTGATCCTCCTGCTTTCACCTCCCAAAGCACTGGGATTACAGGTGTGACCCACCACATCTGACTGGACCCAGAATTTCTGGGAACAAAACATGTGCTTTTGTTGTTGTTGTTATTATTTTTTTTGGTGAAGTCTCACTCTTTTCCCCCAGGCTAGAGTGCAATGGCGCAATCTTGACTCACGGCAGTCTCCTGCTCCCAGGTTCAAGCAGTTCTCCTGTCTCAGCCTCCCAAGTAGCTGGGATTACAAGTGCTTGCCACTGCACCCAGTCAGTTTTTGTATTTTTAGTAGAGATGGGATTTTGCCATGTTGGCCAAGCTGGTCTCGATCTCCTGACCTCAATAATCCACCCGCAGCCTCCTGAAGTGCTGGGATTACAGGCATGTGCCACTGTGCCCAACCCAAATCTGTGCTCTTAATCACTATATTACCCTACTTCTTCTAGAAATATGATTAGAAGGAAATGGCCTAAATGCAACAGAATATTTATTGGTATCCAACAATGAATGCAAATGAAAATGTGAAATACTAAAAACATCCCTCCTGAGATTTAAGATATAGATGACCCTGCTATCCATACTACTGAACATTTTTGGAAGTTCTTGCTAATACACAACATAAGTGACATAAGAATGAAAATAAGGCTGGGTCACATGTGTAATCTCAACACTACTGTAGGCCAAGACAGGGGGATTGTTTGAGCCCAGGAGTTCAAGACCAGCCTTGGCAACATGGTGAAAACCCATCTCTACAAAAAATACAAAAAATTAGCTGGGCATGGTGGCATGCGCCTATAGTCCTGGCTACTCAGGAAGCTGAAGTGGGAGTATCACCTGATCCTGGAAAGTTGAGGCTGCAGTAAGCTGTGGTCGCATCACTGTACTCCAGCCTGGGCAAGAAATTGAGACCCTGTCTCCCAGAAAAAAAAAAAAAAAAGAAAATTAAAACCTAAAGGAGCCATTAACTTATTATATACCTAGAAAATGAAACTGAAAAACAACTAAAACTAAAAATAATTCAGCGACATAACAATTTGGATTTTAATTTTTTTTTAAGTTTATACTAGCAATAACCAATATAATTTGAGGTATGGCTTTCAAATGCAGCCAGTTTTCCTCTATCCAAAAGCCTGAGGCTTTTAAGGATGTCAAGGGAGTCAATGTTTAACAAAAACTACACCAGACTGGTGTAGTATTCCCATTTACTCTTTTTTCCCTACTATTCCCACCTTAGTTATGAAGAGTGCAGGTTCCCAACATCTAGAGGGTTAGTGTGGTAGGCGAAAAGCAGAGAAGAACCAGAAGGTAAAACTTCAGCACGTAATGGGCAGGATCTGTATATAGAAGACTTAACCAGAAACGTCCAACTCAGGGTGGAGAGCTGGACCCATGTGCTCACATAGGGTTGGGCTTGTCCATGGGATCTGGGAGCTTCCAAATTAAAACAATGAAAAGTCTCATTGGCATATCTTCCAAAAGGAAAACAGAAACACATACCACATATATAGTTGAAAACAAATTTAAAATATATATTCATGAGTGGCAAATTTTCAGTTGTGTCCTGAGTTCAATAATGTTTTCTGGACTCTTATTATTCTTTCTAAACTTGCCTGAGATGTCTCCCTTAGAATCACATCTAATCTTATTTTCTTACGCCTCAATTCTACCCTTTCTTCTATGTCAAGACATGCACCACACCTCACAAAATCTCCCCTCCAGATTACATAACTGACGTGGCTCCTCTAGCCTCTCCCCCAACTTGGTCACACTGCAGATCCTGTCAACCTGTTAAGATAAGTTTAGGGGATGGAAAAAGAAGTGGTGAACACCAGAGGCAAAGGTTCCCTAGATCTGGGCCATATTGCAAGGGTGGAAGGGAAAAGTTGTTAAAGCTCATGGACTGACCTGTGATGGCAGAAAGAGAGAAAATCTGCTGAGATTTATTTTCTTATGTCTTTGGGGAACAAAAGATGGTTCAGAAGACAATTATGATAATTAGAAGTACAGCTCTCAGCTTTAAATTAAGATGGCAGTTGTAGGTAGATAGGACTACTTAATAAGGAAAACAGACTATTGTGAATCTATTGTCTTGCCACAAGCCTCGCCATAGTGAATTCCAAATATCAGGGAATGCTGCCAGCTGGATTTTCAATCATCTGTACCACTGCTATGAAAGTCAAGTCCAGGTATCCCCAAACTACGGCCCGCGGGCCGCCCTGAGGCCATTTATCCGGCCCCCCGCCGCACTTCAGGAAGGGGCACCTCTTTCATTGGTGGTCAGTGAGAGGAGCACAGTATGTGGCGGCCCTCCAACGGTCTGAGGGAGAGTGAACTGGCCCCCTGTGTAAAAAGTTTAGGGATGCCTGGTTAAGTCCTCTGTGCAGTAAATTTCGACACAGTTCTTAATCTGTTAATTTAGGACGCAGAGTACAGTCAGCAAGTTCAGAACTAGAATTAGCATGGAGGGCAAAGTCCGTATCAGTGGGATATGACTGCCCAACTAAATACCTAGATATACACACATTCTCACAAACACACACACACACACACACACGTCTCTCTCCTTCATATACATACAAACATACACACACACACACACACACATGCACAAAACCATTTGCATTTTGAGGCTAAAGTAACAGTAGTAAGACTTCCAGGAGTACATGCAAAAGATATGAATGAGATCTCTGTATATGATATTCTATGATGAGATGGACTTCCATCTTTCAAAGCATTTAGTCCTGGCCAGGCACGGTGGCTCATGCCTGTAATCCCAGTGCTTTGGGAGGCCAAAAAGGGAGGATCATGAGGTCAAGAGATCAAGACCATCCTGGCCAAAATGGTGAAACCCCATCTCTACTAAAAATACAAAAATTAGCTGAGCGTGGTGGGGCACACCTGTAGTACCAGCTATTTGGGAGACTTAGGCAAGAGAATCACCTGAACCTGGGAGGTGGAGGTTGCAGTGAGCCAAGACTATACCCCTGCACTCCAACCCGGGCAACAAAGTGAGACTCCATCTCAAAAACAAACAAACAAAAAAAGAGGCATCTAGTCCAGCTGGGAAGGGGAGAAAGATTGTGCATACTTTAAGGATAACTCAGTATGAGAGTTGAGATTTTAAAAATTATTTATTTAACAACTGAGTGTACAAAATACTATCTATATTGGAAAGAAATACATACCTGACCTCAAAGAGCCTACAACAAGTTATTATAAAAGTATACAGACACACAAAATTTACAAGGCAATTTAACAACAGTTACATATTGTAGCACCAGTAAATTCAAAGCATTGAGGTCAAATCAAGAGAAGTTGAAGAAAAACAAAGAAGCATTTAAAGAAGAAAGTACTTAAGAGATGAGATGGATTTCAAAAATTGTGAGAGACAAAGATTAGAGAACAGAAGAAAATGTTTCCTAGATAAGGAATGAAAGCAATGAAAGGCTATAGATTAATGTTTAAAGAGTAGATGGGGAGGGCCACAGCCAAGAGGCAGGAAGGCATGAATCAGCCTTGTTGAATGACTTTGTATAAATGGTGAAATGGAGGAGGTAGGATAGAATATAGAAGATATTATCTCTCTCTTTGAAAAGCATGGAGTCTGATTTTGAGATGCATAACTAAGAAATGAAATAGATTTAAAAAGTTAAAATTTTAAAATAAAGAAAAAAAAGGAAACCCACAATTAAATGACATGTGTAGTCCTTATCTTCCTAACAGTGGGTAAGAACTGGAATAAGTTACTCCTACTCTCCTACCTTAGTGATCCAAGGATAAGCAAGTAGGGAGTCACTGTGACTACTGGCTCCAGGAAACCAATGTAAGCATCCTTCTTATAAAGAAAGCTTAACTCTAAGGTCCTTGCTCTCCGTCTCAGAGAACCATACCTTAAGAAACTGACCAACCCAGACCTGAGGGCTTCTCTCCAGTATGAGTTCGCTGGTGGTGATTAAAAGTGGAACGCTGACTAAAGGCCTTCCCACACTCACTACATTCGTAAGGTTTCTCTCCGGTGTGAACTCTCTGGTGCACAATAAGCTGTGAGCTGTCACTAAAAGCTTTCCCACAATCATTGCATTTATAAGGTTTTTCCCCAGTATGGGTTCTCTGATGTACCATAAGGCTGGAGCTATAACTGAATAACTTCCCACACTCATTACATTCATAAGGTTTCTCACCAGTGTGAATTCTCTGGTGTATAATAAGGTGTGAGTTTTGATTGAAGGATTTTCCACACTCATTGCATTTATAGGGCTTTTCACCTGTGTGAAGTCTCTGGTGCCGAATAAGACATTTACTCAGACCGAATGCCTTACCACACTCACTACATTCAAAAGGCTTTTCTCCAGTATGAATTCGCTCATGCTCAACAAGTTGAGAGTTCTGATTGAAGGCTTTCCCACATTCACTACATTTGTATGGCTTTTCTCCAGTGTGGAGGCTCTGATGTCGAATAAGACATTTACTCCGACTGAAGGCTTTACCACATTCATTACACTCATAAGGCTTCTCTCCAGTGTGGGTTCTCTGATGGTCAATGAGATTTCTATTGGAACAGAACGCTCTCCCACACTCATTACATTTGTAAGGTTTCTTACCAGTGTGCAGGACCTGATGTCGAACAAGACTTTTACTTCGAATGAATGCCTCTCCACACTCATTGCATTCATAAGGTTTCTCCCCAGTATGGATTCTCTGGTGGTCAATGAGTCGGGAACTCTGAGTAAAGGCTTTTGCACATTCATTACATTTATAGGGTTTCTCCCCATTATGGAGTCTTTGGTGTTGAACGAGATGGGAGCTGTGCCTATAGGCCTTTCCACACTCGCTGCATTCATAAGGTTTTTCCCCCGTGTGGGTTCTGAGATGAACAATGAGCTGAGAGGTTTGCCTGAAGGTCTTTCCACACTCGTTACACTCGTAGGGTTTCTCTCCAGTGTGGATTCTCTGATGGCCAATAAGGTGAGAGCTCCGATTGAAAGCTTTGCCACATTCATCACATTGATAGGATTTCTGTCCCTTTAAAATGTCTTCATTTTCAGCAGGACTGGAGGACAGACGTGGATGTTCCCCAACTTCCTTATATTTGTTGAATCTGTCCTTTGTGAATTTTTTCTTATCCTCATCTGTTATTTCCAAGAAATCATTTTCTAGTCTGCTCCCTTCTTCATCTGAGGTTTGTCCTTCTAACTCCTTGAAAGTATCTTCACAAACATTTCCAGTCTCTGTTCCCCCAGGAACCACCCCAAAGAGTTCCCCAGATGTCCTATTAGATGACTCTGATCCTTTAAAAATTTTCTGCTTTGGAGTCAACTCTGAACTCTCCAGCTTGTTCTCACCTGCTGCCAAAAGAAAGAAGGCAACAACTTTTACTCATTTCTTGTTCTGTTTAAGAAAGAGAATCATTAACAGCTTATGCAACTGAAAAAAAGTCACATTATGGTTAAGAAATGAGACAACACATTGAGAGCAAGAGCAAATGAGAAATATTAATAGCTCAATTTTTTTCCCTAGGGATAGGAAGGGGAAGATGGTCAGTGGAGATAGGTGTAGAAAGAGACTGAGCCTATGAGAACAGAAATGTCAACAGCATCTTAACAAAAGAAAAATAATAAAGAAGAAAATAAAATTTAAAAAAGAAAAAAGAGACTGAGTCAGCAGAATCAAGTCAGAAAGGCCATTGGAAAGCAAAAAACTGGATTGCAAAGCATGCTGTGATCTTACAGAAGTCACTCTCGTGCTATGTCTCCTTAGCAAAGTCATGAACGCGTAAGTTCCCTTCCAACCATAACTGCATGGTTCCATTGTTCTCAGAAAAGATGTTGGGAGAGAGGAGGCTAGAAAATACTTCAAGTCAAATGTAATAAAGAGACGGGGAAAAAATGATAGTGAGTTGACAGGAAATTTACATTATGGAGGTATGATAAGAAAAGTGTACAAAAAGAACAGATCTTTTATGTCAGGACAGTAACAAGACTGCCCTAAATTCATCAATCACAGGATCTGCCCTGCCAAGAAGCCCTTTCAGGAAACTGCTCTGCCGCAGCGTTTGCAGAGAGGGATGCTTAGACTGCTATACTTTGTGCCAAGTGACCCTGAACATCCCATGATAAGCTACAGGTGATTGGACCAGCACCAAGTACTAGACCCAAGGGCAGCTTATCTGTAGGTTGGTCTTTAGCCTCTGCTGTGGCCTGGGTCAAAGCTCCACCCAAGTGAGATGATGGGTAATGGCCATAGTAAAGGGAATCCGTCTCTAAGGAAATTTGGAACTGGAGGTAAGGCAAAATTAAGGCAATTATGAGTAGCAATGGAATCTGAAGTGATGAATGGAGAGAAGCCAAGCAATTAGGAGACACAGCAAGCAACAAGTGTAAGAGAACAGAAAGTATAATTAGGAAAGAGCTATGAAAAGAACAAAAGATTCACATTGAAGAAAATGGGCAGCAGGAGGAGGACAAGCAGAGAGAAAACAGATACACTGTGAGCAGCTGCATTACATTCACACTGGAACACAAGCATCAACATCCATTTGCTTTTGCTGCTCAGGCTCCCAGGGTCAAGGCTCTGCTTCCCACAGTCTGGTCTAGCTGATCAGTTTCTTCTGGGTTCCCATTCCTTTAAGCCAAGGCCCACAGTTCCTTACTTTAATAATAACTTGAGTGGCTCTCTATTCCTTACAACTAAGAAGCCCTATCAAAACCATACTATGTCAATTCATAATGAGGTGAAGAGAATGCTGATCACTGTTGAATCTCAGTGATGAATGCAGAAAGGGTCCCTACATTATTCATCTTAGTTTACATTTAGAAATTTTCATAGTAAAAAGTTTAAAAAGACAGGAAATATAGCAGAGAGAATGTGCAGCATGCAGACTCTAAGTGACTAGGAAACAGAATCCTTACCCAAGGAGGCCATGCTGTGGTCATTTTCCAGCATCATGTTCCAGTGCATTGCTCTCTGGCTGAGCGCAGGACATTTCTGTTTCTTCTGAGTATAGTCTACAGACAGGTCCTCAAACACCACAGAATCCTGGAATGACAAGCTCGGATCGCTCAGGAACATTCACAGCCTGAAGGGCAGAGTCATCAGGGGTACAGAGGACACAGGGTATGGGCTCTTTATGGGCAAAAGTGTGGGAGAGAGGAGCTGAGATGATACCTCAAAAAGGGCAAGTCCAGGGCAAGACAGAATCCATTACCTTCAGGGAAGCAATTAGGCAGGAGAGACACGGGAACAGTTTTAGATGGGGCAGAGTCCTGGTGGTGAGACCTCTAGCTATTCCTGGACCAGAGTCTTTGGGACGTGGTAAAAACAGAAAGAAACAAGCTCACCTGGGGCCTGACCATCCGAAGTACAGTTGCCTCTGCTTGGTCTCCTGAGTTTCCCACTTGAGGAAGGGTAGGAACTGGAGAAGCAGGTTGAGCTGAGGGAGGAAAAAAAGCTATGAGTGGGACAAGCCCTGCTTCCGGCTCCTGTAAGATCTATGTTCCCAGTAAGAACCCAGGCACCTCACACACACTGACTCTTACCAACTTCCATAACAAGGCCTTATCCCAAGTGTGCTGTGAATTTGCCCTGGAGGGCATAGTACAGGGTCCCAGGTCAAGCTGAGAACTGCGTGTTCCTCCAAGTCCCCACTCTCTTCAACCTTTTTCAAGGAAGCTATTCTGGCCACACTCTCTCCCATGGCTTCTCTAGCACCAGCCAGCCCTGATTTTCCCCTCACAGTTCTGGTTCCTCATGCCCTGGTTCCTCTTCCTGCTCCTGCACTTTCATTATCGACACTCCTTGCAACTCAGGCCCCTGTGCTTCCTTGTTCTTTCCGTCAGCAATCTCACCAACTCTCATCACTTTAACGGTGCTCTCACAGTTCTTACTTCTCTCCTAGACCCCTACCACACGCTTCCTGCTGTCTATGGGATGTTTCACTTGGGTGTCCTGCAACACCTTAAGTTCAGTATCTAGAATGGATGAATGTTCTAGGCTGAGGTGGGAGGCTAGCTTGAGGCTAGGAGTTTAAGACCAGCATGGGAATCATAAGGAGACCTTTTTTACTCCCTTCCTTCCATCCCTTTCTTCTTTCCTTTCCTCCCCTCTCCCTTCCCCTTCCCCTTTTTTCTCTTTCTTTTTCTCTTTCTTTTCTTTCTCTTTCAAAATTTTTTTCGTCTTCTCTTTTTTTCTCTCTCTCTTCTCTTTTTTCTCTCTCTTTCTTCCTCCCTTTCTCTCTTTCTCTCTTTCTGAGACAGAGTCTCACTCTGCTGGAGTACAGTGGCATGATCTTGGCTCACTGGAACGTCTGTCTCCCAGACTCAAGCAATTCTCCTGCCTCAGCCTCTGGAGTTGCTGGGATTACAAGCACCTGCTAAGTAGAGACGGGGTTTCACCATGTTGGCCAGGTTAGTCTGGAACTCCTGAACTCAAGTGATCTACCTGACTCCACCTCCCAAAGTGCTGGGATTACAAGTATGTAAGCCACTGCTCCCAGCAAAAAAACCCATTTCTATAAAAAGTTTTTGTTTTGTTTTGTTTTTCAAAAAAGAGCTGGTCATTGTGTCATGGCTATAGTTCTAGGAGGCCATGTTGGGAGGATTTCTTGAGCCCAGGAGTTCAAGGGTACAGTAAGCTATTATGATTGTGCCATTGCAGTCCAGCCTGGGTGACAGAGTAAGATCCTAGCTCTCCAAAACAAATAAATAAATAATATGAAATAAATTTAAAAAATGTTCTTATCACCTTTCTTTCGGACTTCTCAATTTCCCTCAATGATTCCATCATTGGCCAAAACACTGTAATTCCCCTTGCCTCTCCTTTCAAACTCAAGTCCCATGGTTCTATGCTTCCATGATAACATTTTTTACATTTATCCTTGCCCATTCCTTTCTTTGCACTTCAGGCATTAATCACCTCAATCTATTCTACTGCAGTAGCCTTTAACTAAGGCTCCTTCCCATTCAATCCACAATGCTCATCTGTGCCAGAGTAATCCTCCTGACATAGTATTTCTAACACATTATCCTTGGCTCCCAATATCTTCCTGCTCAAGCTCAAGGTCCTGTATAAACAAGGCCCAACTAGAGTCTTCCCTGACTCCACCTCAATCAGGGCTCAAGGAATCCCCAGCTTAGAGTCTTTGTTGTATCTTCTAATGGCATGCCTACTACTTTTCTCTCCTCTTCAAAATTCTTCCACATTTTTACTGCCCAATACACTGCTATCTCCTTCATGAAGCATTCATTACCAGTTCCAGCCCACAGTGATCTTGCTTTTTACCCAGTGATCACTTTTTACAATGCCCACATTGCTCATCTGTGACAGGATCAAATGCCTGAGGAACAGATATCATTCATGTGCATCTTATGAGGTTGCCTCTTCTTACACATGACTAACTCATCCTTCCACCTCGAAAAACAGCTCTTTGAAATCAGTGACAATAGATGTACTACATCTCTCTGGTCTCTGTCAGTGCCTTTCCTATGACATGTGCTTGATGAAAATTTACTAAACACATGAATGATTAGAGCATAAGCAAAAGGAATAAATAGGGTCACTAGGGAAGGAGGACAGACAGCAGAGCAATGAAGGATTCCATGGGGTAGGAGATAGGCAGATAAAGGAAAGGAGACTCCAGAGAAGAGAAAGGAGGCATGACTTAAGGCCAAAGTTGGGGAGATAAGTACCAAAGTCCCCATTGGCGAAGTGGTGTGTCCTTGAGTCATAAGGAGGCTGCAGGTGGGCTCCAGGGTCTGAGCCCCCACTGAGGGGTGATGCAGGAGGAGATTCCTTTGTTGCAGCCAGAGCTGTTGTCTCCTCCAAATGCATTTCCTGCTCCTGTGCTGGGGCAGAAACCTAGAGACGGGGAAATACAATTGGGTTCAAAAGAGCGTCCTTGAAAGTACTGAACCTCAAACCTCTAAGTAGCCCTCTCCAGCAAGAAAGCTAGGAAAAAGAAGAGCCAGAGTGTCCTTCCAGCCCACCACTACAGCCTACTGGGGGAAAAAAACTGAAAGCAGAACCTAAAGCTCCCAATTCTACTCACCATACCTCTGTTGACCCTCTTGCTAGGAGCTTGAAAACCAGATTCTATAACCATTTACACTCTGTGTCCGGTCTTCAGACACATATTTTCTTATGAAGAACCATTTAAAAAGGGAGCCAGGAGAGCAATTCAGTACATTATCTAGTGCATTAGCTGACAGAAAGGAACAGTCAGAAGTACAAACAATAGGCTGGAGGTGGTGACTCACACCCGTAATCCCAGCACTTTGAGAGGCTGAGGCGGGTGGATCACCTGAGGTCAGGAGTTTGAGACCAGCCTGGCCAACATGGCAAAACCCTGTCTCTACTAAAAATACAAAAAATTAGTCGGGTGTGGTGACATGCACCTGTAGTCCCAACTACTGAAGAGGTTGAGGCAGGAGAATCACTTGAACCTGGGAAGTGGAAGTTGCAGTGAGCCAAGATTGCGCCACTGCACTCCAGCCTGGGTAACAGAGTGAGACTCCATCTTAAAAAAAAAAAAAGTACAAAGGATATTTTTAAAAAAGATAGGTATGTGTATGTTCATGTGCACAAATAATGCTACTGACGCTAACAGCTGAGGCAATATCCGTAACAGTGGGTGGCAAACCTCGAGAGCTTTTCCAATTTCTCTGAGGAAAAAGTGTCTCCTCTTCAGAGAAGCTTTCCCTAAACACACTGACAAAGCAGTCAGACTCAATTAACCCATTGTAATTTCTATATTACATGTATTAATCTTTAAGTAATTTTACTTAGGTCTTTATTGCCTTTGTCTCTCCAACAAAATGTTATATTACATGTATTAATCTTTAAGTAATTTTACTTAGGTCTTTATTGTCTATGTCTCTCCAACAGAATGTAACATTTTAAGGATAAGAACTTCTGATCACTAGCTCCAAAACAACATATATCCCTACATTGGTGTTCAATTAATATCTGCTGACTTCCTCTTGATATTTTACTAAAAGATTTAAGGTTATCTGCAAACTCAGTTTTCAATATATATTACCCCTCCCCAATAATTTATATTTAAAAAGGCAAATAAGATCAGATAACACTAACTTGTAGAGACCTTGAGAATACCTCAGAGCATAGACATCTAACCCTTGCTTATTGTCATCAAACCAGCTCCTCAAAATCTCATGGTTACTGCTTTTACCAGTATGTGGGGCAGAAAGCCTAAAATGTTATCTAAATAAGGCACACTTTAAAGTTCACTTGCTCTGGTATGTACATAGCACAGCATGAAGTAAAAATAACCTCCCCTTCAATAAACTACACAGGATTTGCCCTATTAGGTTGCATCTGCTGAGATGTTAAGGGACTCTCTCCTTTCATATTCATCTCACCAGTGTAGTGCTAGAACCAGCAGGCTCCCTAGATTCTGTAGTTCCCAAGCTCTCCCACTGAAAGGTTTTTTGAAACTGAAAGACTCCCTAAAATGGGAGTCACAGCTCTTCAATACAGGAGCTTTGGGTATTGGCAGAAGATAGAACTTACTGCACTGTGATCAGTCAACTTTGTAATTCACTAATAATTAAATCCTAGCAACGTTCCTGTTCATTATCTAGGACTTTGATATGGTTTGGATTTGTGTCCCTGCCCAAATCTCATGTCGAATAGGAGGAGAGGCCTGGTGGGAAGTGATGGGATCACAGTGGTGGGGGGCAGATTTCTCCCTTGCTATTCTTGTAATAGTGAGTTCTCAAGAGATCTGATTGTTTAAAAGTGTGTGGTACTTCCCTCTGTGTGCTCTCTCTCCTGCCACAATGTGAAGAAGTTCCTTGCTTCCTCTTCACCTTCCACTATGATTGTAAGTTTCCTGAGGCCTCCCAGTCATGCTTGCTGTTAAGCCTGCAGAACTGTGAGTCAATTAATCCTCTTCTCTTCATAAATTATCCAGTCTCAGGTAGTTCTTTATAATGGTGTGAAAGCAGACTAATACAGAAAATTGGTACCAGGAAAGTAGGGCACTGATATAAAGATACCTGGAAATGTGGAAGCAACTTTGGAACTGGGTAATAGGCAGAGGTTGGAACAGTTTGGAGGGCTCAGAAGAAGACCAGAAGATGTGGGAAAGTTTGGAACTTCCTAGAGACTTGATGAATGGCTTTGAATAAAATGCTGATAGTGATATGGACAATGAAGTCGAGGCTGACGTGGTCTCAGATGGAGATGTGAAACTTACTGGGAACTGGAGCAAAGGTCATTCTTACTATGCTCTAGGAAAGAGACCAACAGCATTTTGCCCCTTCTCTAGAGATCTGTGGAACTTTGAACTTGAGATAGATGATTCAGGGTATCTGGCAGAAGAAACTTCTAAACAGCAAAGCATTCAAGAAGTGACCTGGCTGTTTCTAAAAAGTGTCCACCATACTTGTGAACAAAGAGATCTGAAACTGGAACTTATATTTAAGAGGAAAGTAGAGCATAAAAGTTTGGAAAATTTGCAGCCTGGCCACATGGTAGAAAAGAAAAGCCCATTTTCTGGGGAGAAATTCAAGCCTGCTGCAGAAATTTGAGTAAGTAAAGAGGATTCAAATGTTAATAGCCAAGACAACGGGGAAAATGTCTCCAAGGCATTTTGGAGACATTCACAGCAACCCCTCCCATCACAGGCCTGGAGGACTAGGAAGAAATAATGGTTTCATAGGCCAGGCCCAGGGTCTAGCTGCTCTGTGCAGCCTCAGGACATGGTGCCCTGTGTCCCAGTCAGTCCAGCTTCAGCCATGGCTAAAAGAGGCCAAGGTATAGCTCGGGCTGTGGCCTCACAGGGTGCAAGCCCCAAGCCTTGGCACCTTTCACATGGTGTTGGGCCTGTGGGTGTGTAGAACACAAGAGCTGAGGTTTGGGAACCTCCTCCTAGATTTCAGAGGAGGTAAGGAAACACCTGGATGTCCAGGCAGAATTCTGCTGCAGGGTCACAGCTGTTATGGAGAACCTCTACTAAGGCAGTGTGGAGGGGAAATGTAAGGTTGGAGCCCACACACAGAGTCCCACTGAGGTATTGCCTAGTGGAGCTGTGAGAAGAGGGCCACCATCCTCCAGACCTCAGAATGGTAAATCCACCAAAAGCTTGCACCCAGGTGTAGGCACTCAATGTCAGCTGGTGAATGCAGCCATGGGGGCTATACCCTGCAGAGGCACAGGGGCTGAGATGAACAAGGCCGTGGGAACCAATCTTTTCCATCAGTATGACCTGGATGTGAGACATGGAGTCAAAAGAGATTATTTTCAGAGCTTTAAGACTTAATGATTGTCCTACTTGGTTTTGGACTTGCATGGGCCATGTAGCCCCTTTGTTTTAGCCAATTTCTCCCATTTGGAATGGGAGCATTTACCAAATGCCTGTACCACCACTGTATCTTAGAAGTAGAAGTAACTAACTAGTTTTTGATTTTACAGACTCATAGGTGAAAGGAACTTACCCATGTCTCAGATGAGACTTTGGACTGTGGACTTTTGAGTTAATGCTGAAATGAGTTAAGAATGAGGAACTGTTAAGAAGGGTAATTGTATTTTACAATGTAAGAGGGACATGAGATTTGGGAGCAACCAGGGACAGAGTAACAGTGGTTTAGATTTGTGTCCCCACCCAAATCTCATGTCAAATTGGAGGAGGGGCTTGGTGGGAGATGACTGGATCATAGGGTGGATTTCCCTCTTGCTGTTCTTGTGATAGTGAGTTTTCATTTAAAATGATCATTTGAAAATGTATGTCATTTCCCCCTGCATTCTCTTATGCCACAATGTGAAGAATGCCTTTGCTTCCTCTTTGCCTTCCGCCATGATTGTAAGTTTCCTAAGGCCTCCCAGTCATGCTTCCTGTTAAGCCTGAGAAACTGTGGGCCAATTAAACCTTTTTTCTTCATAATTACTTGGTTTCCGGTAGTTCTTTATAGCAGTATGGAAACAGACTAATAGAGTCATAGGTTTCCTTTTCTTGAAGACGTGAAAACCTCATTCTAATATGGCATTCCATAGTAAAACCCTAGATAAAAGCTGTTGGCTTAGAAACTAGGGAGATGGAAAATCCTGGTCTTCACATTTGATGATAATCAGCAAAAACCACACTTCAAGTAAATATTTTCGGCAAGGGAATGCTTACTACATGTGCTCACTTGTCAAATGGAGATAATGATTACTGCACTGCTTGTTTTGTAACTCTGATGGTAGATGAAAAAAGATACAGCATTCTAAAAAAAGGTAAAAAAAAAAAAAAAGAAAGAAAGAAAGAAAAAAGAAAGTAAAAGAAAAAAAAAAGATATAGCATTCTGCAAGTTGCATGACTCTGCTGCCCAGCAGGGATCACTCTACAACCCTTTTCCAGACACAATGTACACACATGTACATGCTCCTTCTGCAACAATAAAGTGGCTTACTGCTGATAAGCAAAACGACTCCAATTTACCTGGACCCTCCTTAATCTCCTCTTGGCAAACTTCCATGGAAAAGTCTGTTTATTCGTTTAGCCACTCTATAAACATTTTCTGAATCCCTGCTTACGAAAGAAAGTCCTGCCTTAGTGCCTTCATGTCAGAAAACATAACACTGACAGTAGCGGGAGAGTAAGAAATGGACTCCAAGGACCCTACTCCCAGGTTGGAGCCTGAGCATTCAGCTGCCTCACCTGTCAACTGCTAGGCATTTTCTTGGGTTGTGATTCAACAGTCACGCTTTTCTGAGGCTACATGGATAAAGCATTAAAAGTTTTAATAGAGGAAGCATTCACTTCTTCTTTTTTATTTTTTTTTAGACAGAGTTTTGCTCTTATTGCCCAGGCTGGAGTGCAATGGCACAATTGTGGCTCACTGCAACCTTTGCCCTCTGCCTCCCAGGTTCAAGTGATTCTCCTGCTTCAGCCTCCCAAGTACCTGGGATTACAGGCATGCACCACCACACCTAGTTAATTTTTGTATTTAGTAGAGGTGGGGTTTCTCCATGTTGGTCAGGCTGGTCTCCAACTCCTGACCTCTGGTGATCCACCCATCTCAGCCTCCCAGAGTGCTAGGATTACAGGCGTGAGCCACTGTGCCTGGCCAGGAAGCATTCACTTCTTAAGCAAAACCAAGTAGGAAATAGGGAAATTTTCCTTCTGCCACCCTCACTAAATCGTTCTCTAAATATGTCTTCAGCCACCTGTCATTGCCATGGCTGGCCCAGCTGCTCTTTAGGCCCTTGTGATGGTTGATGTATTCATATGAGCTTACTTGTTTACACAAAGAAAATGATGGTTGATAATGACAAATTGCACTGCTGATAATCCTGGAAAAATGTCTAGCCCCAGGACCCTGATCAACTAGAACTGATTTCCTAGTGATAGATACATCATTCAATGCTTTAAAACAAAAAACAAAAACAAAAAAAAACATTGAATAGGCTGAGCATGGTGGCTCACACCTGTTAATTCCAGCACTTTGGGAGGATGTGGCAGGTGGCTCACTAGAGCTCAGGAGTTTAAGACCAGCCTGGACAACATGCCAAAACCCTGTCTCCACTAAAAATACAAAATTAACAGATGTGGTGGCTCACATCTATGGTCCCAGCTACTAGGGGAGCTGAGATGGGAGGATCACTTGAGCCCAGGAGGTAGAGGTTGAAGTGAGCCAAGATTATGCCACTGCACTCCAGCCTGGGCGATAGAGTGAGACTCTCTCAGTTAAAAAAAAGCATTGAATAAAATGATACATTGGGTACTTGGGAAATTTTCTATTCTGGTTTCCCCTGGTAAAGTGCAAAGGGGTAAAGTAGAGAGGACCTCTAGTCCACCCTGCTCACATTACAGGGGAACAATTTGAAACTCATTAGGAGGAACTAACTTATCCAAGGTGTGATGATCTTTTGATGTGTCAACTTTGTACTAATCAAACATCAATCCAGGTGTTGCTGTAAACAATTTTTAAAATATGATTAAAGCATATAAGTTTACTTTAAATAAGGGAGATTATACTAGATAATGGTTGAATGCATGAGCCTGACTCAATCAGTGGTAAGCCCTTAAAAGCAGAGCTAAAGGTTCCATGAAGAAGAAATACCAGGCTAGGTGTGGTAGCTGATACCTGTAATCCCAGTGCTTTGGGAGGCCAAGGCAAGAAGGATCGCCTGTGGCTAGGAGTTCAACAACAAGCCTGGGCAGCACAGCAAGACCACATGTTTACAAAAAGAAAAGAAAAGAGAAAAGAAAGAAGAAGAAGGAAGGAAGGAAGGAAGGAAAGAAACCTGGTATAGTGGCACATGACTGTGTTACCAGCTACTCAGGAGAATAAGGTGAGAGGATCACTTGAGCCCAGGAGGCTGTGCTTGCAGTGAGCCAAGTTCATGCCACTGCATTCTGTCCTGGGCAACAAAGCAAGACCCTGTCTCAAAAAATAAATAAATAAATAAATATATAAAATAAAAAAGAGAAGGAAGAAAGGAGAGGAGAAGAAGAAGGATGAAGAAAGAGAAATAGAAGGAGGAGGAAGTAGTGAAGGAGGAGGAAGAGGAAGAGGTAGAAGAGGAGGAAAAAGAGGAAGAGGAGAAAAAGGAGAAAGAAGAAAGAAATTCCACCTGTACACTGCAACTTCAGCTTGTGCCACTGTTTCAGGCTGCCCTTGTTGATGACTTGCCTATGGGTTTCAGACTTGCCTAGCCAGCCTCACAATTACATAAGATACTTTCTAGCAATAAATCTCTCTCTCTATTTTTTTTTCTTTTTAAGATGGGGTCTTGCTGTTACCCAGGTTGGAGTGTAGTGGCATGATCTTGGCTTACTGCAACCTCTGCCTCCTGGGTTCAAGTGATTCTCCTGCCTCAGCCTCCCCAGTAGCTGGGATTACAGGCACACACCACCAAGCCTGGCTAATTTTTGTATTTTTAGTAGAGACAGGGTTTTGCCATATTAGCCAGGCTGGTCTCAAACTCCTGACCTCAAGTGATCCACCCACTTTGGCCTCCCAAAGTGCTGGGATTAAAGGCATGTGTTACTGCACCTAGCCAGCAGCAATAAATCTCTTCACACATGCATGGGCACACACACACACACACACACACACACACACACACACACACACCCCTCTCTCTCCTATTGATTCTGCCTCTCTGGCTGAACCCTGACTGAAACACATGGTCACAGAGCTACTTAGCTCTATGGTCCTAGAAACCAGATTTTCCAATGTGTCTTACTGCTCGCTTTTCCCAACTATTCCTCTAGTTTAAATTACCTTGGCATTACATTTGCGAGAACTCCAGGTAATAGGGAAAATTTAAATTAGAATTAAAGATGCAAAAAGATCCCAGTTAGGTTTGGAGAGCTAGCAAAACGAACAAATAATTACAACGCCCAAAAATGTCACCTTTCAAAAAATCAGAGACAGAAAAAGAGAAAATTGACTGAGAAGTCCAAGGAAGTGAGTAATGAGAATGTCTCAAATGAAGACCCATATTATCAGCATACCCAAAAGCCCATCTTCCCCTTATCATTCTATTCTAACGAGCATGCAAATCCCCTACCTGCCAGGATTACCGTGTAAATCTCCAGGATGAAGCTAGGCTCAGAACGCAGTATTTCACAAGTCAAATCACAGAGCTTAGCTGGGATGTGCATTTGTGTTTATGGCTTGGAGCACAAAACTATTTCCCCTCTATCCACAGGTCAAGTTCAGGGACCCTAACGGCAAACTAGCCTAGGGCCTGGGAAGTGGAGAATGCCTATGCCTAGGCTAGCCCAAGCATTAGAGAGTGGTTCAGGACACATTCTAGACTCAACTGCTTACCTCCTCTGGTCCACTGAGGTGTCTCTGGAAATCCTCCACCACAGCCACAGCCTCATCACCACTCTCAGGGTGATGTAGCTGCACCCAGGTCCGGAGCTCCCCAGGGAGGATGCTCAGGAACTGCTCCAGCACCAGCAGCTCCAGGATCTGCTCCTTGGTGTGGACCTCTGGCATGAGCCACCAGCGGCAGAGCTCCCGGAGCCGGCTCAATGCTTCCTGTGGCCCAGACATCTCGTGGTAACATAATTGCCTGAAGTGTAGCCGGAAGATTTCACAGACAGGAGGATGGCTCTTTTGGAGACTGCTGCCCTGACCCCAGGTCTGGCTCACTGGCTCCTGCTTCATAGTCAGGCGCCCTTCCTGCTTCTGGAAAGCAGTACTCCTGAGGATGAGGCCTACATTTCCTCTGCCTTCAGTGGTCATTGTGACCCCAAAGAGAAGCTTGTTCCAGTTGCAATTGATCCAATTAAAACGATGATTTACAGTTCAGATCTCAGGAGCTATTTTTCAGGGTTGGGGAAAGGCTTGATGGCAGTGTTGCCTACAGAAACAAGAGAGAAATCAGAGTTCTTGGAGTGTTCAGCCCTAGGATGATGACATCTTCCACTGAGTTAAAAAACAGAGCTCCAGGAAAAAAAGAACACAACCTCCAAATGATGCCTTTCTTAAAGTTTCAGTGGCTCCCATTACCTACAGAATAAAATCTAAATGTCTATGCCTTGCAGTCACAGCCCTTCACAATCTGGCCTTATCCCCTTCACAACCAGCCACACCCCCTACCTCTTGCCCCAATTACCCATGCTAGAAAGACAGTAATAGGGAAATGCAGGATATCTCAAAGGGTGCAAGAGAAAATACTAAGTTATTTAACTCCTATTTAATGTATGTTTTATAATGTGCATTATAATTTGTATAGTAGTTCTTGTGTTTAAATTACAAATAAACCATGAGTACGTGATCAAACTTCTACTGATAGAAATGCAAAATAAATAAAGTTTGGAGCTAAAGCTGTAGAGACCCAGCTAGAAGCCACATACACTTTTTGTTGAAATTTTTCTTATTCCTTTCAACTTGAGACGACCTTGTCTGTCAAGACAATGAACAAATGCCATTTTCTCATGGCTTTCCTGATTGCCCCATCAGGAAGAGTGCTGGTAGCTTCCTGTTGTGTACCTCTCACTATAACCCTTTATTTTAACTGGTTTATGCACAACTCACTACTCTCACCCTCCAAACTGCTGGATGGCCACAAAAGGAAAGGAATCAGGTGGCATCAGAATATACCAGACCTTTTTTTCACTCAATGCACCTCCCCTAGAAAGCTTTCTCTGATCACGCTAGGTTTAGAGGGGTGGTTATTGTCTTAGTGATCCCAAACTACGTTTTTCATTCAAACCTCTAGTAGAGCACGTCTCACACTATAATCGTTTGTGGTTTACATGACTGTCTCCTCTCTTTCTGGGAGTATATAAAGGGCAGAACTGACTTCCAGTCATCTTGGTACATGTGTGTACATGGCACACAGAGGCACATAATTGGGAAACGAATGAATATGATACATTTAGCTGATACTGAAGTGGAGGAAAACTTTGAACGATTGAAAATCAGCACCTTAGTGGTACCTAGGGCATCTGTGTTGCACTTCTAATTCACCAAGCGTCCCAGATCCCTGGGTCTCAAATCTCTTTAAAAAGACAAAGAAGTACCTTAAAATAATCTGTAAACTCTGCTCTAAGATACCACACAGGTAGAAAGTTCAGGCCATTCTCCTACTTCCCGGACTGTTCCAAATGCTCAGCACTTTAAAATCTCAACTGGATTTTTGCATTTCAAAGTCACGCTCCACGTTTGCGATTCCGAGCCTGGGTCTGACCCAAATCTGACGGTTCATAGTTTCCCGCTGCAAGAGCTGGGAAAACAGCGATCTACCTTTCGTGTTAAACCAGGCTTCAGCAGCGCCGCTCACCTGGCCACGTCTGCCCTGTTCATCGCTGTACCCGCAGATATCCGGCTCCGTGCCACGCACGGATGGTCAGGGGTATGGGACAAAGAAGCGGCTCTATCTACATCGGGCGGCTTCTGAGAGTCTCCGGGACCGCGCCACCTGCCACGGGGAAGAAGCGCGGTCCCGGCCGGCGTCGGCAACCCAAGCTGCGGCCGCGCCTCCCTCCGCGTCCCGGCCCACTCGCGGTGGCACTCGGCAACGAAGCCGGAGACCTCTACTGCCAGTTCAAGCAAAAACAATGGCCGAGCCGGAAGCAAGAGAGGCCTCGACTTCCGGCCCCTCCGGGATACCGGAAGTCTCGTTTGCGAAGGTGGGCGCGCGCGTCCCCTCACCCGGGAGAGCTGGCAGGGCCTCCTTCCCGGCAGTGCCCGGCCACCTGCCGCGGGGCGGGGGCGGTGACTCGCCAGGGCTCAGGCCGCTCACATCCCGCTCTCAGGCCATAGTCGGGAGACCCAGCCGCGCTTCAGCTCTGCCCCATCTCCTCCAGGTGACCTTGGGAAACATACCCAACTTCCAAGCCTGTTTTCTCATCCGAAAAACTGCAGAGCATAGCGCGTACCTCACAGGGCTGGGAGCACCCAATAAGGTAACACACAGACACTGCCTAGCAAAAGGCCTGGCATATCCTGAGCAATCAGTTATACCATCTGTGATGCCCAATCTGAAGTCTCAGTCAAGGGAGCAGCAAGCATTTCCATCTTAAAAATCAAGAAGCGTGTCTAGAAATTGTGGTATTTGGGCCCATAAATGTGGTTAATATTTACTAAGACAGCACCAGCATTCTGATGTCCATGTAGAGATCCCTAGGGAGACCAAGGAGCAGATAAAGTGAGAAGGCGTGGGAGCAGCTTGTAACCTAGGAGGCAGTTGTCTAGCCTCTGGGTGTCGGGTGGTACCCAGGTGAACTTCACTTTGAAGAATGGTTTGGATACAGAAGTCCTCTATGAACAGGTCCTTGCTACTGACGTGACTGAGCAGGCCCTGCATGTTAATGACCATGGGTGAAGGCCAGAGGGCATGATGAACTTAACTATGTATTTTCATTATAGCCCAGGAGGTAGGTCCTTTACAGGTCCCAAAGTAAACAGTCTCCTGGGCTGTCTAGAAACGGCAGTATTTCACAGGCCCTGGGCCTAACCCTGGTCCTGCATATGTTCCTCATATATCTGCATGGGCCAAGATAGAAACAGACACCAGAAGTCCTGCTCCAGAGTTCCCACAAGCTTAAAAGTAATCTCTTGGAGCAGTCTTTGTCCATTGATCCTAATGGGTGGCTTCCTGTTATCAAGGTCCCCTTCTACATTTGGAAATCTCACAAGGAGGTTTTGGCGATTTAAAACCAGAAATCCCAGCCTCTGCCTGACATTGATGCTAGATATTGCCTACTGGCAAATCAAGTCTTCAGAAGCTTAGGATTCTTGAGGAGGAAATCTCTCAAGGCCAGGCTAAATACTCTCAGACCTGATTTTCAGGTTTCCTTGACCATGTGTTGTCCTGAAGTCCTGGCTTCCTAGTGTAAGAAACACATGGATTTTAAAGTCAAAATTGAGGTTTTTTATTATTCAGAGCTGTTTCTTGCTCAGGTTGTTGGCGTTCATTGGATGTGAAGACCAGGCCCATCTGAGCAATGTGTTAAGACTTCAGAGGCACTTCTGTGACCAGCACTGTGGGCCTGGCCTGATCTACCATGACTGGGTTGGGTCCCAGTGGGCAAGACACTCCATGATGCCTCAGTATAGCACCTTGGGACACCTACACTTGGGCCAAAGACAACTCCAGAAGGCCTTTGGGAATTCTGTACTCCAACTCAATCTCTCTTGAAAACCATCATTCAAGCTTTGGGATGAGAGCCAACAATTAGGTAACTCAAGTTCTATATGCCTGAAACGAAACTTACCATCTGTCCACAACCCTCAAGCTCAAACTTTGTTCCCATCACTGTAAAAAGTATTATCATTCACCCAGGGAACCCTGGGCGTCATCCCGTAAGCTGGGTGACCACGGGCAAGTTACTTGGCCTCTCTGTGCATAGCTCCCTTATCTGGAGAATGGGGATAGTAATATATTTGAATTATAGAGTTTTTGTGAGGATTGGATGAGATAAAATACATAAAGCATTTAGAATGGTGCCTGACACATTGTAAGTATTATAGGTGTTTTCTAATATTGTGTTTACCCTCCTTGTTTTCTCTCAGCTCATCCCCTGTATCCATATTATTGCTAAGGTCTGCCACGTTTGCCCTATATGTATGTAATAATAATAAAAGAAAATAACTACAGCAATTACTGTGCTGCCCTGCATCATCACTATCACTTCCCATGTTAAATCTTGCTTGGAGTTAGGGCAGCTATGAGAAGTGTGTCCCCAGGAACTTCCTGGATTTAAGACCACAAAGAGGCTGGGCATAGTGGCTCATACCTGTAATCCCAACACTTTGGGAGGCCAAGGTGGGTGGATCACCAGAAGCCAGGGGTTTTAGACCAGCCTGGGCAATATGGTGAAACACTATCTCTACAAAAATTTAAAATGTAGCCAAGCATGGTGGCATGTACCTGTAGTCCCACCTATTCCAGCGGCTGAGGTGGGAGGATCACTTGAGCCCAGGAGTTTGAGGCTGCAGTGAGTGAACAGTGTTTGTGCCATTGCACTCCACCTTGGGACAGAACAAGACCCTGTCTAAAAAAAAAAAAAAAAAAAAAACCATGAAGAGTAGAGTACAGGAGGTCTGGAGAGTCTCTGCCCCCAAACTGCTCAGACCTTCTGACATCATCTATGTGGATAGTCCCTTTTAACTAGCCAGAACACTCCTACACACCCTAAAAAGAAGGTGGGGCCCAAGACACATGGGGTAGGGGTACTTGTTGTGATATGTGCAGAAAACCCCAGCCACTGTGAATGGGAGTGAATGGGGCCCAAGCTCTAACTAAGAGAATGGTGAGATTCTCCTTTCACCTCAAAAACTCCTTCTTATCCTTCAAAGCACTGACAAGAAGCCCTTTCTCCAAGAAGCCTTTTCTGCCCCTCACTTCGATTAGGTGTAGCTTCCTTTTTGCTCCTGTGGTGGCCTGCCATGCTATGCTATTGCCATAACCAATAGGTTATGGTCCTAATTTGTCATACTCCATTAACACTATCTACTTACTGGCTTCCCTGCTGTACTGTAAGCCCCATCTTGGCTGATACTATATCTCTCTGGTTCACAGTTGAGTCCCCTGACACAAACTCTTGGCTGTTCCCTTAGCTGGATGTGAGCACCGTATGGTCAGGCCACCATTGTTTTCATGGCATCCAACACAAAGTCCACTCTAGCCTCTAAGAAACATGTCCTTGATCCAGGTTGCTGTGGAAAGCTTTTAACAGAGAATAATCTGATCAGTGTGGGTTGTAGAAAGTTGCCTGTGGTGACCAGCTATATTGAGGGGCTTGGAGGGAACAAGACATGGACATCCCTTACAGCTGCTTATCTGCTTTGCACTCCCAGTGCTTCTACAGCAGTATCATAGGATCATTAGTTTGCAGATGAGGATCCTGAGGCTTGGCAAACAGCCTAGTAGCTGAGTAACATTTTACTGGCTGAGAAGGGTAAGTTAGGCTTTGATTTCTGGTCTTTAGAGCATTTCTCCCTCTCTTCTTTCTATTGCAAGATGCTTTCTCTGACCTCCATTCATCCGATATTTTAATTCCTTTCAGGTTTCTTCCTGCCAGTGGTATGCCAGAACCTGTTATGAGAGCAGGGAGGGTCGGCAGTGATCACCAAACATAGCCTTGGATGTGACTTGGTGAAATGAAGGGTTTTCTGGATGCTAGGGTCTCAGGGACTACCTCAGGGAGCTGATCTCAGGTGAGTGAACCACCAAACCCCACAGGCCTCTGAGCTTCCTAGAGGGAAATGGAGTTGATCTCAGGTGAATGAACCACCGAACTCCACAGGACTCTGAGCTTCCTAGAGAGAAATGGAACTGATCTCAGGTGAGTGAACCACCAAACCCCACAGGCCTCTGAGCTTCCTAGAGGGAAATGGAGTTGATCTCAGGTGAATGAACCACCAAACTCCACAGGACTCTGAGCTTCCTAGAGGGAAATGGAAACTTGTTTCAAGTGTGCACAGACCACAGAGCGGGTGGTGATGTGGTTTGGGTTTTGTCCCTGCCCAAATCTCATGTCGAATTGGAGGAGGGGCCCAGTGAGAGGTGTTTGGATCATGGGGGCAGATTTCCCCCATTGCTGTTCTAAGGATAGTGAATGACTTCTCATGAGATGTGATCATTTTAAAGCACGTGACACTTCCCCCTTCCCCCCCCTCCCCTGCCACTATATAAAGAACGTGCTTGCTTCCCCTTCGCATTCTGCCATGATTGTAAATTTCCTGAGACCTCGCAGTCATGCTTCCTGTTAAGCTGGCAGAACTATGAGCTGATTAAATCTCTTTTCCTCATAAATTACCCATCTTAGGTAGTTCTTCATAGCAGTGTGAGAATGGACTAATACAAGTTGCTTCTGATGATGTTCTTTAGTTCAGGACTTGTCCCAGGCAACTGCTGGTGGGCAAGCCATCTGGGACCCCAGTGTGGGAGCTGTGGCCCCAGACTGCCCCTACTTGCCATTGGCACTGGTTTGGATTCTCCCTTATGACATAAATGGATAGACAGGCCTATGACCTACGGGGGACCCAGTGCATTAGCGATGGCATTTGGGACCCCACAGGCCTCTGCCTCCTAACACAGTACTGCCCCTGTTCTAAGTGCTTCCTGGGGGTTCTACACCATTGTTCTGGGGATGGGGCAAGGAGGGTTGAACCATCCTACACCTGTACTCTGTCCAGACTAAATCCCTGTCCTGGGGTCTGTTGTCCTTTTCCCAGTCTCCCCACCGGCCCTACAGCTTGGCCGCTGGCCCTTCCTGCTGCAGATCTGCAAAGAGAAAGGAGCATTTTCTGGCTAGCCTACCCACAGCTCCCAGACACCAAAGTTGCTAGCATGCACTCAGGGAGGATCCTTAGAGTTGCTAATCCAGTCACTACCTTCCTGTTTTATAGATGGGGAAACAGGATCTCGGAGAGATAGGAACCCAGGTCTCTGAGCTTGATTCTCTGAAAACATGTTCTTTTTTCTTGGAAATAATAAGCTTGATATCATAGGTTGTAATCCAGCAGTTTCTGGGTTTTCTCAGACCTCAGATTTGAAATCCAGATTCTTCCAAAAGGATCTCAGACATAGACTGGAATTTCTTTCCAGCCTGTAAATACAGCAGAATCTAGCTCTGCCACTTACCAGCTGGGATTGTGACCTTGGGCAAGTTATGTATATACTGTGTCTTAAGTTACTTTATTTGTGAAATGGAAAAAATATCTATGCCTGCTACCCTCTCAGAGTTGGGAGGATTGAGTGAGGTAAGGTGAGAGCTTTGTTTGACACATCCTATTTGGACATCTATGCAAAAAACTGTTTGAATTCCAGGGAGAAGGCAGTAAGCCCTGGACCTTGGAAATGTCAAGGGCAAGGGCAGGTAGAGACCAGTGACTAATAAAGTCGGTATGCGATACCCTGCATAAGAGAAGTTCAGAGATCCAAAGAAGGGATTAATCCTGAAAGGAACTAGAAGCAGCTTAAAAGGGAATAGCACTGAGTTGTGCCTTGAGGAAGAGGGAAGAGCATTTCTGGCAGAAGGAACAACATGATCAAATTGCTAGGTGGGCGTGGGAGTCATTATTTCAGTACAGGTTGTGTCCTGTTATAGGCTGTAGGAAATTAACAAAAAAAAGTGATTCAGTCTCTATTTAGTTGCATACAATTTGTGTGCCCTTAAGCCACCATAATGTCCCATAGTGATCCTGTTCTTCCATCAATTTGGGAAATAGGTAATACTTGCATTCATTATTTCTTAGTTGAGCAATGGACAACAGCCAAGGAGAAGCTGATGCCCTAGTGAAGTTTTAAATTCCCTTCACTTATGAGGCATCCAGGATGCCACCATATGCCCTTGGAGCTCTTCTGTGGCTAAGCCCATATGTTCTAATAGTACCTAGAAGTATCTAATAGTATCTAGAAAACTTGCTGTGATGATCAAAATGTTCTATACCTGCCCAGTAACACCGGTGCTCCACACACATATGTTTCTACAAATTAAGTATGCAGAACTCCCAAAGTGAGGAGATGTTTCATCTTCCCTCAGTATAGGCATTCTGGAGGGCCAGGCTGGTTTTCCCCAATTAGAGGTGGGCAGGAATATTGTTTCCTTTTTCCTTCTGCTAGCAAGGCCTGGCATATGGCTTGCCCGAGGGTTGTTCACCAGAAATGAGCTGAGCCTGTTCCCCTTTCATCCTAATTCCCTGTCATTTCTGCCTTCTTTCACCCAAGAAGTTGTCAGAACTTGGAAAGATGTGGTAAACATGAAGAAAATTCTGTGATATTTCTCTAAGTATTGTTTGGGGTTAGAAGAGACTTGATTTTTCAGTCATTGTCATCAAGCTCACTGAGAGGGATGAAAAATAAGGTTTGGAGAGTAAAGCTCTAACAGAAACTACTCTGTGAAAAGGTCAGTTGTGTGTTGGAATTTGGCTTGTTTCCTCTTTGCTTCTTGGACTAGGATAAATGCTACAACGCTTCTCTGAAAGAAATGCCTCCAGTGACTTTATGTATCTTTTCTTTCAGGACTTTTCTAGACCTATCACTAGCATTCTGTTTCACCTGACTAATCCTAATCATCCAACCTGTTCCAAACAATTCTGCTCTGCTGTGATGTCCTCCAGTCTCAAAACCCGTAGCAAATACCAACCTCTAAAAATTTCTGCAAGCACTGTTTGGAAAACAAACATGTCATAGCTGGCTTCTGTCTGTGGCTTTGGATTTCTTCCTCCAGTTTACATTATACCAAGCAATTTCTAGAGTGTCAGCTTCATTAGTTCAGCCTGTTATTACATACACATATTTGTATTAGGGTTCTCCAGAGAAACATCATATATAGAATGTTTACATATTATAATATAATATTGTTTACAAGACAATATGTAATATAAGGTTATTTAATATGTTAAAAAATAAAAATATAATTATATATGATATATGTAAAATAAAAATATATGTACCGGGCAAGCCCTCACTTAAAGTCATTATTAGGTTCTTGGAAACTGTGACTTTAAGTGAAATGACATACAACCACCAATTTTATCATAAGCTAATTGATATAAATGAGTTAAGTTCCTATGGTGTATTTCTGGCCACAAAAACATCATCAATATTTTAAATAAAGACCCAAAACATTGCTAATATTGAACACTGAAATAAATGCGAGCTATACATACATTAAAAAAAAGACTATTATTTGAGTGGGATGCAGTGGCATGCACCTGTAATCTCAGCTACTCTGGAGGCTGAGGCAGGAGGATCACTTGAGCCCATAAGTCTGCAGTGCACTATGATTGTCCCTATGAATAGCCACTACACTCCAGCCTGAGCAACACAGCAAGACCTCATCTATAGAATTTTTTTTTTTGAGACAGAGTCTTGCTCTGTTGCCCAGGCTGGGGTGCAGTGGCACAGTCGCAGCTCACGCAACCGCCACCTCACAGGTGCAAGCAGTTCTCCTGTGTCAGCCTTCTGAGTAGCTGGACTACCAAGATTTGCTATCATACCTGGCTAATTTTTTGTATTTTTAGTAGATACGGGGTTTCACTGTGTTAGCCAGGATGGTCTCTATCTCCTGACCTTGTGATCTGCCCATCTTGGCCTCCTAAAGTGCTGGATTACAAGTGTGAGTCACTGTACCAGGCCAAATTTTTTTTTAATAAAAAAAATTATTTGGTAAGAGATGCCTTATCAAAGACTTTCTCCTATACATTAGCGCTGTGCATTTGGCCACTTCTAGGTCTAAGAGAATCTGGGAGACCATTTTAGATTTCCAACCTCTAAAGCAGCTTTGTCCAATAAAAGTTTCTGTGATGATGAAAATGTTCTATACCTGCTCCACTAGAATAGCGTGTAGTCTCATGTGGTGGCAACACTTGAAACCTAGCTAGTGTGACTGAAAAGCTGAATTTCTGATATTGTTCAACTTAATTTGAATTTAACTAGCCATATGTGGCTAGTGGCCACCATATTGTACAGCCAAACTTTTTTGGACACAGGATCTTGTTCTGTTGCCCAGGCTGGAGTGCAGCGGCATGATCGTGGTTCATTGCAGCCGCGACCTCCCCAGCCCAAATAATCCTCCCACCTCAGCTTCCCAAGTAACTGAGATTACAGGCATGTGCCACCACGCCTGGCTAATTTAAAAAAAAATTGTGGAATGTAGTCTCACATGTTGCTCAGCCTGGTTTTGAACTCCTGGGTTCAAGCAATCCTCCCACTTGAGCCTCCCAAAGTGCTGGGATTACAGGCATGAGCCACCACACCCAGCTACAACAGCCACACTTTTGAAATGAAGGAAGTCCAGGAGAAAGACAGTTAGAAAAGATGTTGGGTTAGCCAAGCTACGGTGCTTGTCACAGGACCACTCTTAATTTATTGCACTTCTCTTCTGTCTTGACTTCAGTAATAACATACATTCTCAGTTCTACTTCTTTGACACAACTTTTCTAGTATATAGCATCAAACATCTGGGCTCTCAAAATGGGCTGAGCTCTTCCTTCATCCACCTTTTAAATGTTGGTGTTCCCCAGGTTTCCCTGACCTTTTCACTTCACTTTTAACACTCTCCCTCTCTAGATGCACTCACCTATTCCTTGCTTCACCCACTTCTCATTAGCTGA